TTATAATGTTTATGTAGATAATCAAAGGATTTTGCTTCATAACTATGAAAGTGATCAATTGTATTGGTAGACTTCTTAATACTGAGCTTTCCTTTATTCGTGAAATAAATTCAGAAAATTTTTCCTGATCTTCACAGTCTATTTCTCTTCTTCTATCTTTATATATTAATGTTTCTGCAGATTCCCTAAATTTTTGATTTAATGTTATAGATTCATTAACTCTGATTGCAAAGGGTATCGATGAAATTCTGATATTTTCTAAGTCTTTATTATCAGCTTACATATCTGTCCTAAACATTGAAATTATATATCTAACTGCCGTTTGGACATTTTCACAGATATTTTAAGTTTAATGTGTTCAAAGCTGTGTCACTTCTGCATTATAGTTTTCTTTAAAGCCCATTTTCCAAATTTTACTTTACAATGCCAATACCTAAGTAGCTGAAATCATGTAAATAGCCTGGGAATAAGAAGCTTATTTTTATTCTCTGCACAGCAAATGAGAACCATGCTCTGCTCCTGCTTTTTCTGTCCTTTTTTTCCTCTTTGCTATGCTTACTGCTGTCTGTCCTGATGACAGGTGATCATCTATTACTCTGTTTTCTTCCCTCTAATTCTCCCACAAGCACCTTAACCATTCCCTTCTAGTGGATGAATGTCAAATGCAAATCTGACTATGTCATTTACCTCTCCTTACAGGACCTTATTATATATACCTTGTGGTTTGAAAAGTGGCAGTATTTACCCTGGGGTGGAAACAAACAAATTTTGCACACAGAAAGAAAATTTGGAAATGTTTGGTACATGCTTTTAATTTGAAAGTNGTTATTGGGTACAACCTATTATATGTTAGATCAATTCAGAATAAGAAAAATAAAATCTTTTCTTTTACTGCCACTTATTTCTTCTTTAATTCTGTTTCTTTTTTTATGGAGATCAAGATTTCTGACCTAGATGCATCTTCTTCTGTCAACAGAAATTCTTTTCATATTTCTTGCAAGACATTTACACTGGCAGCAGATTTCCTTAATATTTGTTAATGTGAGAAAGTCTTTATTTTTCCTTCCCTTTTGAAGGATGATTTTACAGGGTAGAGAACTGTAAGTTGGTGGGTTTCTTCTCTTGATGCTTTGAGTGTTTCATTTCACTGACTTCTTGCATGGATTCTGAGCAGATTTTATATGTAATTCTTATCTTTCTTCTCTATAAGTAAGATTTTGTTCCATTTTATTTTTGGTAGTTTTTAAAAATTGATTTTCTGTGTTTTAATAATGATATCCATAGGTGTAGTTTTTGGCATTTATCATGGTTGATATTCTCTGAGTTTCCTGGGTCTTTGGTTTGGTGTCTGACATTAATCTGTGGACGCTCTCAAGCATTATTGTTCCAAATATACATTCTGTTTCTTTCTGTCTCTCTTTCTATTTTTTTTTTGGGGGGGGGTATCCTCATTATTCTATGGGACAATTTTGTAGTTTTAACACAGTCCTTAAATATTATGTTTCTTTTCTATCTTAGTTCTCTTTGCTTTTCAGATTTTAAAGTTTCTATTGATGTATTTTCAAG